CAAAAAAAAAAAAAAAAAAAAAAAAGGAAAATCAAACATCTCGTTGTGTCCTATGAGATCCCACGTGGCCTATTACCTGTAACCTCTATTTGTGCTCTTTCTCTTCTCCCATTAAATGTGCGAACGCGCGCGTGTGTGTGTGTGTGTATGTGTGTGTGTGCGCGTGTGTGTCTTCCCCACTCGAATATAAGTTCTTTGAAGTCAGAGATGTGTCTTTCTTGTTCACTTTGTAGCTTTGCCATGTAATACAGCATCTGGCAAATAGTAGATGCTCAGTATTTGCTGAATAAACATTTGCTAACTCAGCCTTCATCTTCCTGCAGGTTTTACTTGGGGTTCTGGTGGCTTCATCTCATAAAGGTTGTCTACAACTTAGGGACCAAAGTGGTTCCCTGCCCTGCCTGCTCCTGGCCAAGTACTCTCAACCCCTCAATGACCCACGGCTGATAGGTTTGGAGTTCAGATGTGGAAAGAAGATGGTGGTGGGGTGGTGGTTCTCACAACCAGGGGAGCCTGGGAGGAAACATCTGCTGGGATTTACTAGGGATGCTGGATTGACACAGGTTGATCAACAACTTTTGGGAGACTGGAATGGCAGGCAGAGAACAGGGACAAGAGCACCCCCGGCCAGAATTGCCAGCATGCATTTCTCCACCATAGCTCCTAACATGCACTGCAGGATTACAACTGTGTCTCCTACATTCTTAGTTTGGAGAGAAGGTGTCACCCCTCTAAGGTGGGGGGTTCAGGTGTGGGCTTCCCTGTTAAGGCAGCAGCTCTGGTCTGGGGTGGGCAATGAGACCTGTAGGGTGGTCTGCCTCACAACCCACACCACAGGTCCCTTTTCTTGTCAAATGGAAAACTTTCTTCCTCTAGGCTGCCTGGTGCGGGCAGAGAGGTTTCAGTTGATCATAGAGAGGGACGTGAGAAGCAGCTTCCCTTCCTGGAAGGAGCTGAGCATGCCAGGCTTCATCCAGAAGCAGCAGGCCAGGTCAGCTCCTTGGGGTCATGGTTGTCCTGAGTCTGGGGGGAAGGAAGGGCCTGGCAAAAGGAGTGGGACCCTGGGGCCCAAAATACCCAATGCCTGCATCACTAAGAAATCTATTCCTTTTCTCTCCCCACAGAGTCTATGTCCAGTTCTATCTGGCTGATGCCCTGATCCTGCCTGTGCCCAGACCCTTCCTTCATTCAGCCACACCCTCACCACCTCAGACAGATCCCACCAGCTCAGAGGGACCCCACCTAGGACAGAGCCGGCTATTCTTGCTCTGCCACAAGGAGGCCCTCATGAAGCGGAATATTTGTGTCTCCCCAGGAGCAAGTCCAGAGGTGCCCAAGCCCACCCTCAGTTTCTATGTGTCGGGGAGCTGGCTTGGGGGCACCCAGAGGAAGGAAGAGACTGGATGGGGGCTGCCCGAGCCCCAGGGAAATGACGACAAGGATCAGAAGGTAAACTGGAACTCTAGGGACCCAGGACCTGACCTGTGCCCTGAGCCTCTGGCTGGGACCTCAGCACTCTGCTCTCCATCCTCACAGGTTCGCCTCAGTTTCTTTGGCTCTTCAGTCCGCTGGTTTGAGTTCTTGCACCCAGGGCAAGTGTACCGACTCATAGCTCCTGGCCCCGCTGTGAGTGCCCTACTTCATCATACCTTTCCCCAGAAAGCTTTTTTGAGGTTGGGGTCTAAAGAGGGTGTGCCAGTGCCTGGTCATTCTCTAGGCCTTCTGGAAGAAGGCTGGATTTAGATACACCAAAAAGCCTGTGTGTATCGACACACTTCCTTCTTAGTGTTCCAGAAAGAACAAAATTGGGCCACAGTGTTTTGTGAACCTCCCCTTAGACTAGTACACACTCATAGGCGGTTCTCTTCCCATTTCCGTGCAGACGCCAATGTTGTTTGAGAAGGATGGGTCATCCTACATGTCTCAGCGTCCTCTGGAGTTGGCTGGCTGTGCACCTGGCCTCACTGTCCAGGACAATTGGACTCTGGAGCTTGAGAGCTCCCCGGACATCCAAGATGTACTGGATACAAACAAGGCATTGCCTGAATCCTCACTGACCGACCTGCTCAGTGGCAAGTAAATGTCCACCAGCCCCTCTGATTAATTTGGCCACTCTCTCTTTTCCCAAGCTAGCTGGGTATGGTGAAGAGTTCATTCTCTGCTGCAGCAGGTATTTCTTTTGTTGTTATTGTTGTGTTTGTTTGTTTTTTGAGACGGAGTCTCATTTCTGTTGCCTAGGCTGGAGTACAGTGGCCTGATCTCGGCTCAGTGAAACCACTGCCGAGGATTCTTCTGCCTCAGCCTCCCAAGTAGCTGGGATTATAGGCGCATGCCACCACACCCAGCTAATGTTTTTGTGTTTTTAGTAGAGACAGGGTTTCACCATCTTGGCCAGGCTGGTCTCCAACTCCTAACCTTAAGTGATCCGCCCACCTCAGCCTCCCAAAGTGCTGGGATTAGGGTGAGAGCCACCTTGTGCAGGTTTTGAATGATCTGCCACAATCCTTTTTCTCCCATAGGCCCTGTTACTCTTAGGGTGCAATCTGGCAGAGCTCAGTGTTTTTTAGGACTTTATCTATTAAGTTCTAGCAGATACTTTAGCTCCATTTTCTGCCTTTGATCTGACTCTCCATTCTATGTTTTCTTGTGCCGCCATTCTCAGTGTATTGCCCTGACCATTCAGTTTCACAGATTCCCTGGTGTCGTTCTCTGCTGAGATTTTGTTCCGGACACTATGTGAACCCCTTCCAGCCTCTCTCTGGATGAAGCCAGGTAAAGATCCTTCCTTTGTGGGGAAGGTATGAAATAGAGTGATGGGACCTCGTGGACTTCACAAATCCCACTGACACCCACCTTCCTTCTCTAGGGAACACGGGGGCCGTGAGAAGGTGTGTGAAGCTAACTGTCGCTCTTGAGACCTCTGACTGTGAATTCCCCCCTCACCTGGACGTATATATCGAAGACCCACACTTGCCTCCTTTACTAGGACTCCTTCCAGGAGCCCGGGTCCACTTCAGCCAGCTGGAGAAAAGGGTTTCCAGGTGAAGATGAGTAGTGTAACCTGCCTCCTCTCACTGCTGATGTGGCTCTCTATAATGCTTACCCCCGCTTACCTACGCTGCATGACCCCTTCTCTTTCATACAGCTTTCTGTATATCAGTCTGCCATCTGTGCCCAGTACTCTCACGAGGTGTTACAGGCTAGTCCTCCTCCTAGTCTTCCTCTAGCTTTGGTAGGGCCATGGCCAGGGTATGCCCCTCACTGGGAGTGGCCAGTCTGTGGTGCCTGATCTCTGCGTCACAGCTTCTACTCCAATTTGACTTGTCTTCCTGTCACTCACTATTCCTCTTCTGCCTGCAGATCCCACAATGTTTATTGTTGTTTCCGGACATCCACTTATGTGCAGGTCCTGAGTTTTCCCCCTGAGACCACCGTCAGGTCAGTGCCCAGACCCCAACCCCTGAACTTCTGGCCTTCACATCTGCATCTCCCACATGACCCCGGTTCTGGAGCTTTTGCCATCGCTATAGCCTTCTGCAATCCCAACAAGATATGTTGAGTCAGAGGAGTTCCTCTACCCCGAATAAAAAATGCTCTATACCTGTCATTGCCCCCAGAATCATTTAGTGTCCTAGGCTTTTGAAGCCTTTTCAGTCTAACATGGAAATATTTCTTGGCTAACATCATGGTGTTCCAACCTGAAAAATAACCAATGACTGTCAGAGATCAGGAATCAAAATGAGGGTGGGGGATGGGGCTTCTAGGACAGCATGGAACCCAGTGCTGTCCCCATCCTGATGCCTTCTGAGTCCTTCTAGACCCACCCTACTTTCAGAACCCCTTTGCCTGTTCTGTTTCTTGACCCGTCTCTGTCTATTTATTTAGCGTTCCCCCGTCCCCCATCTACCTGGCTGAACTTCTGCAGGGTGGCCAGACCCCATTCCAGGGCACTACCTCTTGCCATATTGTCTCTGTCTTCAGCCTTCAGCTCTTCTGGGTGTGTGCTTATTGTACCAGCATCTGCCCCCAGGTAAGGGAAGGAACGGGCTGACCTGGGTAGGGAGTGCCAAAGGGATGTGATGGGACCAAGAGGACTTTTTCAACCACTGTCTTCATCCCAGGGAAAGTGCACTCGCCAGGGCTCCACTTGCCCTACACAGACATCTGTAAGCCAGGCCATCATCAGGTGAGAGCACAAAGCGGGTGCCCATGATGCCATTTATTTCCTTAGTAGACCGCTTGGTCTGTCTGCGATTTCTACGTTAGCATAATTCCTGGCTCGCGAGACTTGCTTAACACATATTTTTCTGAACGAATGAATGAGGGTAAGCTCCTAGGTCTTTGAACCAAAGACTGCAAAGAGCAGGGAGGGAGGCATGTTGGGTCTAGGGTGTTGGCGACCTGGGTTGCTATAGGAGTTTTTATTTCCTCCTGCTCCCCATAGGCTCCTGGTGGAGGATGGGACTGCTGAAGCCGTGGTGACCTGCAGGAATCACCATGTGGCAGCAGCACTAGGGCTGTGTCCTAGTGAGTGGACCTCCCTCCTAGAGTGCGTCCGAGTGCCAGGCAGAGTATTGTTGCAGTTTGCAGGGCCTGGAGCCCAACTTGAGGTGTGATGTGACTGGGAGATAGGGGCTCAATACCCAGATTCCTGGGCTTTGGCAGAGGGTTTAGGAGCTAGTTAACCTTGAGTTTCTCTTTCTAGTCCTCAGCCAGGGTTGATGAGCCCATGACCGTCTTCCTCTGGACACTTTGTACTAGCCCATCTGTCCTCCGTCCTATTGTGCTTTCCTTTGAGCTGGAAAGGAAACCCTCTAAGATCGTCCCATTAGGTAAGGTTGGAGATGGGGTTGGATCATGGTGGTACAGATAGATAGATGCGTCCCTGGGAGGAAGAGGGATGAGGGACGGATGGGGAATTTCTGGAGTTAGGGAGGTGAACGGTGGGTGGGAACTAAAAGCCACATGCCTGAGACATATGTTTTTCCTCTCTTTCCACCTTAGAACCTCCTCGGCTACAGCGATTCCAGTGTGGAGAGCTCCCTTTCCTGACTCACGTGCACCCCAGGCTCCGATTGTCGTGCCTTTCTATCCGAGAGTCAGAGCACTCCAGCTCTCGGGGGGTCCTTGCCTCCTCCTGTTGACTGCAAGGATGGCCTGAGAGTTCTTCCCTTCTTGCTGAAAACCTGAAGGCCTCGGTCCTGGCTCTTCCCCCTACTTGCTCTGTGATTGAACCAGGACTCCAGATCCCTTGATTCACAAACCGCTACTCCACTTTAATTTCCCTTCTTTGGTATTCTGGTGCCAGCCTGCCTTGATGAAATTGTGGAAACAGGAAATCATGGCACTGTTGATATTTCCTCTGACTGGGGACAAGGCACCCGCACTCACAGGCAGTTCTGAGCACCTGGGTTCTGCTTTTGTGGCAGGAGCTAAGGGAACAAAAGACTTGCTCGCCATGGGGTTGATGCTGACAGCATTGACCTGCAGTGAAACTCTGGTGTCGTTTCTCACTGGTTCTCATCTCTGGGGCCCCGGGCCTCCTGACACCTAGTCATCCACCAGTCACTCACCATCATTTCAGTCCTTTGCCACCAGGGCCAAAGGTGGAAAGTGATTTGGAAGAGAAGAGCTTCTGGTCCTATAGCAGGATCAGCAGGGAACAAACCTCTCAAACACCGAACTGAGAAAGGAGGTGGCTTTTTATTCGGCCAGGAGCTTCTGGGGGCTATAGCCCTATTCACTGAGCTCCCTGAGAAGCAGCTGCTTTCCCTTTTTAAGGGCTTACAACTCTACAGGGGGAGCAGAGGTGAAACTGTATTATTGTCCATTGGCTGGACGTTTGACCTCGCAACCTTTGGTTTCATTGATATGCTAGTTCATATGCAGCGTGAGCGGGAACAGGCAGGGGAGGAAGCTTACGAAAAGATAAAGGAAGTAAATTATTATTTGGCAGAGGTATTTACAGGAGGGGCCTAGGTCATGCAAACGAGGACGTGACCCAGTGCCCGGCTCCGGCTGATAGTGATACATTCTTTTCAACTCTTTCAAGGTTTATAGATAGCAGAGACACTGGAAACAGAAAAAGGAGTCATTTTCCCAGTCCTTGGGCCTCTTTATGGCCTGGTCAGTGGCGTCAGCAAGTTGCCTGACCATGAATTCAAGCTCTTTGGTATTTTTTCTCTTTACCCTCCTTTCATCCAGAGGGAGGAGGTAGAGCCTTGGAGGAGGGAGATGGGGAGAGGATCTCCCCTCTCAGTCCAGCAGAAGAAATGATACCAAAGTCTGTAAAGGAAGTAAATTGGGGGGTTGGCGGCAAGGTAGAGAACATGGCTATGATGGTCTCGGTCAGTAAGGTTGGGCCCTGCAGGAGTCAAGTGTGAGCGCCTAGAGGTGTTCCTGAGCACAAAGATGGTGTGGCGGGGAGGGAGGGGGCAAGTGCCAAGCGCGAGGAAGGGCAGGTGAGGAAGCCTGGTGCCTGTGCTATAGGGCCCCAGGAAAGGGTTAGCCCTGTAAGCTTCCCAGGAGCTAGGCCTAAGGCGGATCCTTGATCAACATAACATGAGACCTGAAGATACTCAAGTCTCAATCACAGAGTTAGGGGATCTAGGAGCAATTGTTTGGAGATACCGATGCATTTGGCTGGTGTTCCCACATTTCTTTACTGGGAGCTGTTCGACAGGAGGAGAGGTGGAAAGATGAGCTGAGGCACATCTTTCAGAGCTACTGGGAGGGCATTTCTTCCTGGCTGTTGGGGTTCCTTCTTGTTTGGGAAGCTTTTGAATCATGGTTAAACATGTTTGTGGGTAGTTATACTGTTTTTATAGTGGAAATACCATATATTAAGATTCGAGAGAGCTTTCTTCACAGCTGGCCGGTTAGCTCAGTTGGTTAGAGCGTGGTGCTAATAACGCCAAGGTCGCGGGTTCGATCCCCGTACGGGCCAAAAGGCAGGTATTTTGTTTTCTAACCTCCTGCTGTTAAAAGTTTCTGCCCGGGGCCACTTGCTTTCTGGAAACAATTACATCGCACCCACTGCTTCCTATTGCCTGAATCACTGGCGCTCCCGAAGGCTTGAAAGGGAGGAGTCTGAGCACCCCGAGTGAAAGGAAAGTTCCTGTGTGGTGCCCGCGTCTTTTCCTCCCTGAGCGCGCATTGTTGGAGGGAGAGGTTTGTCAGTCAAGAGAAGTAAGAAAGGCATCAGATGAAAGTATAAGCAGAGGCCTTGTAGTCGTGGCCGAGTGGTTAAGGCGATGGACTAGAAATCCATTGGGGTCTCCCCGCGCAGGTTCGAATCCTGCCGACTACGTGTCATTTTTCTTCAGTTTCCATATTTCTCTTCTCCAGGACGGGATGATCCATTCAGCACCCTCCAAATCTCTCATCTAGGAATTCTAGAATTGAGGATTTGATTTGAAGTCTATGATTTAGGCTTGAAATCTGTGATTCACTTCTTTCAACATTGAAAAAAGTCTCAGGAATGAAACAGTGATGCAAGACCCAGTTGATATACCAAATTATTTCTGGGAGGTTCTGGAAAAGCTGGGTTCACAGCATTATATTCTTGTAGATGAGTTTCAGAAGCCTTTGGGGCAGCTTTGGCGCCGTGGCTTAGTTGGTTAAAGCGCCTGTCTAGTAAACAGGAGATCCTGGGTTCGAATCCCAGCGGTGCCTTTATTCAGCTGAAACAGCATAAATTTTTGGTTAAATCTGCATCCTTTAATAGATTCACGAATTGCTTTTGTATCAGAACACGAAAGAGTTTCCATTCTGCTCTCAGAGCACCCACATTTCCTGCTGAGTCGAGCCGCCACTCCCATGAGATCACCACTCTAAAAGCTGGTTCTCTAACTGGGGCAGAAATGCTGCATAGGCCTAAGGGTCCTTTGCCCAGCTGATGCCACACCCCACTGTTGCAGGTGGACTGGGTCCGGCCACTGCCCACCCTTGGAAGGGCCCACCCACCCTCCAGGCCTCTTTCCCCACCCTAGGATGTACCCTAGAACCTGAGCCACTTTGTTTTGTTTGGCCCTTCATTGTATTTCTTTGGATTTGGCAGCTCATAATTTTATATTATACATATGGTATATAATATAAATAATATGTATTTACATATACAGTATGTAAAATTTGGTGCGGCTTCTACATGCGGTCTTCTAACTGGCCTTTCACATTCAGTCACCTCCATCCCTCTCCATGAGCGGGGATGTTAGGGTAAGGAGTAAGCAAGGATCCAGCTGGCCTGGCCTGGCACCAGGTTTCCTGCAGGAGGGTGCGGAAGGGCTGAGGCCGTGTGGACAGAGGCCAGGAAAGCGTCAGGAGTCCCCAGGAATCCTGGTGTGGAAGGGCAGGACGCATTTCTGGAGCACTAAAGCCAGGCTGGTTAAGGTAGAAGTAAATGCAGGAGAGAAGGCGAGAAATAGGATCTGTGGGCTCTTGGCTGGACCTAAACCTCCTTGGAAGATAGGAAGCTCTAGACACCATCCATTGGCCCATGAACCACCTTGGAAGATGAGCAAATAGCTTAAAGGAATTGCTACCTCCAGGTCAAGCCATTGATGCAGAACTGCTGAGACCATGCTTGTGCCAAGCACTGGGTTGGAGCCCATGCAGAACCAAATGAACAAGACACGGTCCCCTTCCCAGCACTAAGAGCACTGTAAGAACAGGGAGAAATGGAATCTCATCTGGCCCAAGGGTAGAGGGTGATCAGCTAAGTCTGAAACACCATGTAGAAACTTGCCATATATGGCCGGGTGCGGTGGCTCACCCCTGTAATCCCAGCACTTTGGGAGGCCAAGGTGGTTGGATCATGAGGTCAGGAGTTTGAGACCAGCCTGGCTAACTTAGTAAAACCTCGTCTCTACTAAAAATACAAAAAATTAGCCAGATGCATGGTGGCACACGCCTGTAGTCCAAGCTACTTGGGAGGCTGAGGCATGAGAATTGCTTGAACCCAGGAGGCGGACGTTGCAGTGAGCCGAGATTGCACCACTGCACTCCAGCCTGGGTGACAGAATGAGACTCCAGCTCAAAAACAAAGAAAGAAACTTGCCAAATGTTCCATTAAAACAACTACTATGTCACAGGTCTTGTTCTGGGCTCTGAGAATACAGCAGGAAACAAATGAAAAGTTCTGCCTCACTGGAGTTTATATTGGTAGAGGGAAGGAAGTGACATGTTGGGGGAGAGGGGCTGGTTATAGAAATGTCAAAGGCCTGCACCAAGGCAATTGCAGGAAGAGATCAAGACATGTTTAGGATTAAAAAAAAAAAATAGGACTCAGTAACAGATGGGATGTGGAGTCTGAAGAGAGAAAAATTTGGGTTGATGCCAGAATTCTCCTTTAGGGAATTGTTGTGGGGTGAGTGCCACCACCTCAAATTCACCAAGGATATCTTCTCACCCTTTCAATCAAAGTGTGAGTGTCCAAAGTTAAACCTCAGAACTCAATCTTTCACTGTTGAGCTTTGACTCCTGTTAAAATGTAAAGTAGTGTCGGGTATGGTGGCTGACGCCTGTAATCCCAGCCAAGGTGGGAGGATCACTTGAGGTCCAGTAGTTCGAGACCAGCCAGGCCAACATGGTGAAACCTCGCCTCTACAAAAATTAGCCAGGCCTCTAAGAGGCAGAGGCTGCAGTGAACTGAGATTGCACCACTGCACTCCAGCCTGGGCTACTGCTTCGTTTCCAAAAGACAAAAAAGGAAAATAGTTCCACTAAAGTTTAAACAATGATCAGTGGCTGGGTGCGGTGGCTCACACCTGTAATCCCAGCACTTTGGGAGGCTGAGATGGGTGGATCACCTAAGGTCAGGAGTTTGAGACCAGCAGGACCAACATAATAGAAACCTGGTCTCTACTGAAAATACAAAATTAGCCGGGTGTGGTGCACATGCCTGTAATCTCAGCTACTTGGGAGGCTGAGGAAGGAGAATAGCTTGAACCTGGGAGGCAAAGGTTGCAGTGAACTGAGATTGTGTCATTGCATTCAAGTCTGAGCAAGAAGAATGCAGCTCCATCTCAAAAAAAAGAAAAAGAAAAATGATCAGCTGTTTTTGTCTTAGTTCTCCTCAAAGAAGTGAAGGTCTATGTATGCAGCCACTTCTTTGAGGAAAAAATAAATAGCAGTGGGGTGTGTTGATGAGATTTCAGGGTATTTGTGAACTCCCTGGATTGTATACATTCTAGGAAGAGGGGCCATAGCTTTCACAAGGGTCATAAAGGATTTAGGCCTCCCCTTCTTCAGAGATTAAGTGCCTGAGACCAGGTAAGAAAGAGGCGACGATTATTTTGCAGAGAAAGCTAGGGTCCAAGGGGAGGGAGACAGGAAGTAAAAAAGGGTGGGGATGGGGGAGGAGATGCCAGATCAGCCCTGAGAACCTCTTTGGCCATCTCAAAGACTTGGGACACTAATGGGAAAGCTGGGCTGACTTCTGCTGCCCTTCCCCACTGTCTGTCCAGGGACGCCTGGGAAAGGACAGACAGGAGTTGAATCCTTCACTGAAGGCCTC